TACCACGACTGCAGGGTTCACAGAATTACCGCATATCAAAAATTTCCCCATGGGTCGCATAAGTTTGTCTCAATACGATTACCCATAAACAGTGTAGTAAGCGCAAACAAATTATTTTTTTAAATGAAATGCTGTACTAAATATATTTGTGTAGATACGTAAGGAAATAAATTTTTAGAAGTTTTGTACCGTTTCCTTCATATTTAGGTTAAAAAAAATTTTAAAAAACACCCTCGTATTATTACCTAAGTTGAAGTGAGTAATTAGCGAGGGTATAGAGAAAAACTAGGGCCATGACAAATAAAAATGGAAACATGAGAAAAAGTCAGAGACACCATGTCTCTGGAAAAAGTGTAAGTATCAGGCTATGCCAGGAGCTTGAAAATAATCATCAAACACGTAAATGATAAGAGCAATCAGAAATTGGAAGCGGTTATTATCTGATACAAATTAAAGTTATAAAGATAATAACAGGTGACAGCAAACGAATAAAAAATCGTACAAAATTAACATGTATAAACTAAAAAGGGAAAGTTATGGACACAACTACGAAAAGGAAAAACTTTAAATGGATTTAAATGGACCGACAACAAAGAAACAAAATAAGTAATTAAACCAGCTAGTTTTGTAATTAAACGGAAAGTAAGTACATCACAGTTATTATAATCAACATTCTAAAGATGAAAGTAAAAGAAAATGGCACGTATTATGTGGTACTGTAGAAAGACGTAAATGAGGATAATCAGCAACAAGAAACTAAAGGAGATAGTGTGTGACTCATCCGAAAAATGAAATCAATAAAAAGTATTTTATAAATTAGCACACAATGAGCTACACGAGGCGTAACGATTCCGGGAAACCAAATTAAAACATAATACATCAAATTAAATGCTTCTTTCTTTTGGCAATCCCTATGCGTTTGTAATCTGGTATCAGGATTTCCCCAAGTTATTTCTCCACCACCACGCAAATAAATGACACATTGGCGTAAAACTCCCCTTTTCTCTAATTTCATAATTCATCGCCTCATTAGACGAGTAAAAAACGATCATGCAAACCTCGACTAATTATGCGTCCATGCGAAAAGTCACAGTTCAAACTTGTAGGACTATTTCAACATTTATTTAAATCGAAATGAAATTCATTGCATGGCGTGTCAACTTCACATCCTTCATTGTGAATTACAAAAGAAATAATGACCTTTCATTTTATATCCGATTTTCTCATTTTAAATGAGTGGACGGAATGATATGCAATTAAAGGGTCCCATACGACTGAAGATACAAGATCAATTTCCAGCTGGATGAAGGAATTCCGATTCATTGGCCCGTATGAATAAAAGTAAGCAATTGCTTATACTTGCAAAATTCAAAGTAAATACTCGTAAAATATACCTATCTAATATATTATGGGTGGCCATAAAAATAATAACCAATTTATAAATTGGTGTATGTAAGAGCGAATAACGTCGTAAGAAAAGTGTGGGTAGAGAAAGTTGTGGCAATTTATGTGTTTTACTTTACGTTAAATTTGCAAGAGCAGACAGCATTTTCATAATTCCTGGAATAACGTGTTCAACAATGTTCAAACTATATCACCTTCGAATAACGTTGAGAAATTCCACCTTATAAACTTTGATTTTAGCACATTATGAAGCTAGAAGCTTCTCTACTCAAATTCCTCCACATTTTCAAACTCGCTCCAGAAGAGATTTACACAAAAAGATCAGATAAAACTAATGAAATACGGGAAAAGCAGCCAACTAATAGAAAAGCACGTTTCGAATGGGAACCTCGTTGGATAGGTTAATTTGTAAAGTGTGCAGGCTACCAGAGCGACGGACTATTTTTGAGAGATCACAGTTAGAGAATATAAATGTTAGGAATTTGTTTTGCATCCATGGGCTACTCCTTATATTCTGTGTTATTGTCAGGCAGGCTATTTTGTACATTTGTTTAATATTATTTAAAAATTATAACTGATTTTCCGAGATACCGAGTTTTGATGTTTTGCTTTGAGTTGCATAGTTGCTTCTGTGCGCTATATAATCCAAGAAGAATAAAGCCTCCTCCGACACTCCATTTTCGAGATATTCACACTAAAGTTTTCACATTGCCAGTAGATATTCCAGTAGACCTTCCAACCGCCCTTATCGAGTACCTTCTACGACCTTAATTCCTTTCGTTGAGAGCTGTCATTAGAGTACCATGAAGGATAAAACCAGTTCCAACCCCCAAATCCCATCTTTTGATATGGAGTTAGAAAGAAGGCGGTATTGAGACCTTTTATTATAATACCATGAAGAGTAGAACGTTGTGTTTGGCCCCACTAAAGGCATGCGTATGCAAAATCTGAGATGAATTGGTTGTCGCATGTAAAAGTTATGCACGTTTTACTTTCAAAAACATCTCAAGAAATAATTCATTGGGGGCGAGGGGGGGGGGCTTAAGACACCTTCAAGGCCTTCAGGCTACTTGCAAAAAATTCCCACAAACGTAGTTCAAAACTGCAGAAGTGGGTCGAGAAAGACGGACAAAATTAAAAAATGCTCTAAAAATTGTAAACTTAATTTGCTAGTTGAAATTCTTTTCTGGCAAAGTCAAAAAAAATTTACAATACCAGTTTTCATCCGTATTATTCGGTACTGGCGTTGATCTCCAAAGATTGGTTTGTAGTTAAAAATTCCCCTAGGATAAGAGCAGCGGTCGTTGGTATGTGTAGCTTCGTTCTTTACAGGAAATAGAAAAACCCAATATTTGTTGACCCCTGGATATATAGTTCGTCCCAGATTATGTAGTTTTAGTGATGTCGATCAAAATTTATAAAAATACGCGCACTGTTTCGGATAACTTGACGCGATTTTACTGTCGATAATATTTCATGCTTTTAATTTCGCAAAAGTCTACTCACTTTATTGTTCTTACAGTCACCAAAGAATTTAATTGACCGTAATTGAAGTTCTTGTATGAATATTTCCCAATACGAAAACGGATACCCTTCGAACAACTAGCGCGATTAAAAATGTTAATTCCGCTTCATAAACTCGGAAGTAATTCTGTTTAACGATCAATTTCTTCGTTTCGCTCGACATGATGATGATATAACGGCGCTTAACCTTCTTCAGAATTGAAATTTCGCGCACGTGAATGAATTGTTTACGCAGTCCCCACACTTAAGCTGTCGTTGCGCTTACGATAACTTTTTACTAATATCGCTGATTCCGCGATTTAAAATGTTGGCAGAGAAAGATACGCTGGGACGACTAGTTTGCATCTCTATACTTCTTTTTCAGTAACTTGGCTCTAATTTTAGTTATTTCTCTCGCCTTTTCTTTGTCTATATTGCGATGCGAGTTTTGAAACGGAACCACTGCAACATTCATGACGCGCCTCTATTTTCTACCAACCGCGAAAGGCCATTCTTAGCTATTTACGTTGCCGCTGCTCTTCAAAACGGAACCAACGCAACGTTGACGACTCGCTTGTATCTTCGTGCAATCCACGCTCCTCCAATTTCCAAACGCACCTGAATTTCACGGATCAACAGACTCGCGATTATTAGTCGTATGAAGCGGTACATAAGAAATTTTACGCAACCCAACCCAAATATCCAATCCAATCCAATAAAATAACTATTTTGAAAAGAAGGCATAAATATATTTCGACTGAAATAGCGCTTTAATAAAAAATGAGATGTTTCGCATATGCCGTGAGTCACAAGATGTTTCTGTTTCTTGTGTTCCGGAAGATTTTTAAAAAACACGTGATTTCAAAAATTTTAATAATAAGATTTCTAAAATTCCTGATAAGTTTCTTCAAAAGAGATATTCTTTCTAAAATTATTTGCAGTTATACTTCTAGAAGATTTTCGAAGACATAACGTAGGAAGTATCTAGGAAACAGGAATTTCTAAGGTTTGGAAGCATTACAAGAATATTAATCAGCTTTTAAGAACGTTTTACCATTTTCGATACTGTTATAGGGTACCTATCTCCGCAATAGTTAGTGGCATCAAAAAACTAATATCGGGGTCATGTGCTCTTTTTGGGTCAAACTTAAAATGGTAAAATTAATGAGATTCGGAGAAAATAAAAAAAATTCAGAAAGACTCTTTTCTTAGTTAAAAGAGATACAGAAAATATTTATTACAACAGTTCCGATTGTTGAATAATCTGCGGTTTTCAAAACATGTATACAGGGTCGGATAAAAAAGTTATTGGGCCTAACATCATTTTTTAAAAAATAGAACACCCTGTATAGTTTAATCTCTTTTCAAAAATATACCACTAAAAAATTCAATATTGATTCAAAAACAATAAAAAATCTTTTTGAATCTTAGTTAAATATTCTTGTTTTGAATTAATTGAATCTTTTTTTGAATATCATCCGTGGTGTCGAAAGTAAGACACCTATGTTGTACTATCAACGCTAAAGCGTCGCCTATGCAGGTCATACAAAACCAGGCACAAAACGAAGTGAAGTTTCGAGAAAAGTTATTTCCCCAAATTACTAGAAAAGTATGTTTATAATTTGTGATTATTTTCTCGGAGACAGGCATTTAGTTAGTTTAGCTACGAAAATTTCACAAAATTTGTCCTAATTTATTAACAACGCATTTGTTCTCAGCCTCACGTACCCCGTCTGTGCACAAAATACGAGAGGTACGAATTGAAATATTATGCAAATTAAAGTCCTGAGTAATAAACGTGTACCGAGTGGAAAGCTGAATAGGTTTGACTACCACATTCACGAGGACTTTCATTATACATTATTTACAAGAAATGGGCAATTTAAATTATTTCAACAAACTTAATTACACATACAACCAACTAATTAAATTAAATAGATGCACTTAAAATTGTTTATGTTAAAAAGTAATTGTTCTAGTTTTCAGTTGAATGCAAAATACAGTTAAGTCACTGACATATTACTTTACTAGAATAAACCGGGGAACTTAGTACGTGTATAGTCCTAAAGTAATACTTGTAAATACTCTCTTACCTTGTACTGTGATCCTGGAAACCACCATCCAACAATCGTAACTTTGCGAAAAGGACGGCAGATACAAAAGGCACTTCTAAAAGTTCTTCTAAACAAAATTCCACTTGAAATTTGTATTTTTTCTTTTTGATCATGAACGCCATTCCGGCGCCTCGTCCGTTGGTCATACAGTCCACTTATTTATGACATCGCACCATGGAAATATTTTAAACCATTTCAAGTTTCCATCTCTATTTTCTACAATAACACGACACGCTAATTTCTATCCGCGACATCTTCCTGCAACAAAAAGTAAAGTCAGCCAAGGAAACAATAAATCAGTTCAACTCAAAAATTACATTCTAAGGTCGCTTACCTCGTATAGATTTCATAACAAATCAATAACACCATTATAATGACTGTTATAATTATAATTGGTCTGTTGACGTGCGGCAGGTATTAAAATTAGAATTCGTTTAACAGACATTAACTTTGGAATTTATGTCTTTCATATGGTAACTCCAACAAAACAAACTAATCAAAAATTTATCTGAAGCCTTAAATACAAAAATAGATTGCGTACTTATTATCAGAAATTAAAATAAAATAATGACTGTACCTACTTTGAATTTCCTAAGGACTATTTACTTACATGCAAGCTAGTTTTGAATCACAACTGCACAATAGGTAGGTATACAAATAAACCGTATCTACAGACTAAGTAAATATTTTCATGACAAATATGTAATTATACCTTAGTGGATATTCAAATGCAATTGCTGCATTTTTGTGCCTTACAAACTGAAGCACTCCTCAATCAACAAATCTATAGGTACGAGTACAATGGGAAGAAGTCAATGCGACTAACCCGTGTAAAAAATAATTACTTGGCAAGAAATATTTATGTCAAGTCATATAAAGAACATTTTAATTTGACATTCTCGAGCTACTACCGTAAATAAACACTAGCTCCGAACATACATGTGTTTAACAACAAAGTTACATAATAAACTTTCGTTAAAATTTTATACATTCAATTCCATACACAATACGCTGAAGCGTGTAAACGTGCAATAATTAAATTATCATACGTCCTATTATAAAGTACAGAATGACGACGTAGTAATTATTTTATCTATTTTAGTTCTGATGCATAATTTGCTGTAATAACAAAAACAAATATGTATAGGAATTTTATCTTCAAACGTCAATCTATATGCCAAAATTAAACATTTTAATTTCATAATGGGCTCATATTTTAGTCTAATTATGAAGTTGGGATAAGTGACATCACATCGGGATTACGCCCAGAACCACGTTTCATTAATTATTATTTTAAGGGATTTAGAGGTCGCAGATGGTATTTCCCAAATTTCAACAAAATGTAATAAATAATCTGAACTATCGTACAAACAACATGGCTGTACTTTAATTATTTACCCATTTTATGTTGATCGTAGTCAAAACTGGTTTGTGTGGTTCACGTATTGTATTGTACCTATTGTATCGTATGGGTGACGATTTTGCTCATTATATGCGAACTGATTTCGGAAAATTTGTACATAACTCGGTACATAGAGACCCGTTACCTTTTATACGACTTCCGGTTGAACCTTATTTGAAGTAGAAAGGATATGTATACTCGTCAATCGTGATCAATTGACCGCCACCAGTCTATTCGTAAATCCATCCCTGCATACTTTTGCTATGTTACATTGCGGAGACGGTCCTTTGCGATACATTTTAAGTTTTTTTTTAATTCACAAGAAATGAAAGGCGCCTTGCAACAATTTTATTTGTGGAGATATTGTCGTATCAAATTTCGTTTACATATTGTATCGTTGTATCGTATCCTAGTCACGTAATCATCTAACCCCCGGATCACGCACAAAGTTGTAAGGATGTGTTTAATGAAAGAGACCTGGGAATACTTTGAAAATTGGTAATTCTAATTAACTAATATCGATAAGAGGCATTCATCTAAAATGGTCGGTGACACTTCAGATGCCCTATATCTTATTTGATTTTTAGGTTCTAAGTGAAACATTACGATCTATATTGCTAGATTTCATAAGTTTTCTAAATATTATGCATATTTTATGTTGTTGTACAGTAAATTGATTGCTCTTTTGAAATATATTTAATAAACATCGGTATTGCATTTGAAAAACAAAAGTTGCATGGATTATTCAATAGGCGATCGGATAGATCGTAATGTCACATGTAAAATTATATTCGACAAATTTGTTGTATCTCGCCAAATAGTCCAGTATGCGGATCAGTCAGAAGGGCCGATTCCTGCAAAAGGTGGTGTAAACGAATTTATCGTTTTAAATGGTCCATTTGGGTCCAAATAACATGTATTTGAAGAGTGCAGACCAATTTTTTCGCGGCACAATTTTGACAGTCACAAAACCTTGAAATAGAATAGAATAGAATATATTATTTGCCATGAATCACAAAAGAATTACAATAGCATACTATTTAATTATGTTGTAGTGTAGTGAAACATGGCATGTAGGTACCTCAGAGCCATATGGCTGTGTTGAGTGTACGTTTCCAATATAATAAATAACTAAAAATAGAGATCTTTCAGAAGACAGCTGCTCCTTCTTAAAACTAAAAATTTCACAAATATAAGGAATATAAAAAATATGTAACAATATTTTATGAATAACCACTTCTTTAGTAAATTAAAGAAAACACAATTCTACGTCGATCAAAAGATGAACAAACAAAATCGGTCCAATAGAAAAATTTTTAGAAGCGATCAAAGAACACCCATTTTTTTCCAACTTAAAAAAACCTCTTTTTTAATGCGTTGTTGTGGCTCCTAAAGCAACGATAAAATCCACTACCCCCCTCCCAATTCTTGAAATTTGTTGGAAATTATTGAATTAGCCAGGAAGAACAGGACTCAACACCACCCTTTCACTGCAACTGATGCCCTCATGTCAATAAGCAGCGGCATTGTTGGTGGACCAGAGGTTAACTGCCAATTGGCCTCGGAAGTAGGAGCAGACCAGAAAAATGGTTAACCAAGAAAACTTCCAAAATGTCACTTTCAAGAAGAAAGATAAAGTGATCCCTCTCGCATGCGTTACCAACCATCTAAAAGTTTGATCAACAAAAGCGATTTTAGTTGATCCACTCACTTTGTTTCAAATATCAAATCCATCTGACGCTGATCTGAATGTATTTTTCAAATATGAACTTGCTCCATTCCCTATGTCCTTATTCAACCAAGAGGGCATGCGGAAAGGTACCAAATCTACACTCGTAGCGTGGCGTGGCGTGTTGCCAATGGGTTTCGGCCTTAAGGCTGTTTGTGAATGGACTATTTCGTTTTTCATAAATTTCAGGCGTAATTATAGTCCGATTTTTTTGAAATTTTGCACATTTGTGCAGTTAACTGTTACTATTTGCGCTGAGATCTCAAAAATTGAATAGTTTTAAAAACAAGCAAAAATTTTTGTAAATAATAGACATATCAAAAATCGAAGATCTCAGCGCGTACTATCGATGAAACATAATAGGGTTTTATGAAATGACAAATTTCCATTTTTTTGTAAATAAATCTGTAATTTATGAAAAAAGGTTTAATTTAATTTTGCTACAGACGGTGCTGCCTCTAGCAGTATATCAAATTAGTGTATGTTAACTCCGCCGCTTACTCCCACCACTGACAATGCGAGTTGCGAGCACATTCGGTTAGAATTTTTATTTCTTCACCTTCTTTTCTTTATCATTATTATGGTAATTTTAAAATAAAAAAAATTATATTTACATGACCATTTTAGATATCGCGGGACAATACGTTTTGGGAAAGTAAAATGAAAAGTCAAACTTTTATGAAACATGTCTTCTCCCCGAAATTATCGACCCTAGATTTCCTAGGAATTTATCCATAAGGAACCCTGAACGATAATTATTTTAACACTTTTCTTATCCGAAGCGTGGGTAGGCAAAAATTTGTTACGACTATATTTATTTTTGCATTTTAGTGAGTTTGTCGAGGTGGATAAAATTTCATTTACTTTGCACATTTTAATTGAAACTTCAAATCACATATACATTTAGCAACGAATTACAAGCAAAAAAGTCAACGCATTGCTTTCCCAATTCCAATATACGTGAAAACCGCGGAGAAGGGTTTCGGTACTATTCGGATACTGTACGAAATAAAAAGGTACGTTCTAATTGACTAGCGCGTATTACATTGGTTCTTGTCTTTCCGCCTTAATTCTGTATTCCCTTTACCGTTGCCCCGCAGGTGCAAGTCGAATGATAGTTACAAACAACCTTAAAGGTATTGCACAGTTATTGGCGGAGGTTTCTTGCTTCATAAAGTTTGTTTGGCCTCGAAACGTATCATTCCAAACCATAGCCGAAACCTACTCAACATGCTTAAAGAGGCACTATGGGCCAGAAATCGTCCTCGTATTTGATGGGTACCCAGCAAAAAACAGTGTGAGCGGTTCAGAAGAGCTAAACTCATGGCTTCATTTAATGTTTTGTTTGACCGTGACACGCTGAACCAGGTTGCACAAGATAAGTTTTTGGTCAACGAAAACAACAAGAAGCGACTTATCGAACTACTCAAAACACATTTCGAGGGATGTAAAATCGAAGTAAAGCAACCAGTAGAGGATGCTAATGTCCTCATCGTCCAAAGTGCCATCGACAAGTCGATGTCCCACAAAGTGATTATTGTGGGGGAGGACACCGACTTACTTGTCCTAATGACAGCCTTTGGCCAGTCAAACGGTAACATATTCTTTTTAAATCTTGGGCGAGAAAAGACCCAAGATGCTCTCTATGGATCCACTTCCTACCTCTTTGACCCCAAGGGGTTACTGCTGAGTCACGCCCTAAGTGGGTGTGCCACGACTTTAGCAATCATATATTCTAGCGACGCGGGTGCAAGTTCGAATGACTTGCGATCGAGCCTGCGATTCACTACGTTTCAGAAGCTGGCGTCCACAAAGAAAGTCGAACTATCACGACTGCCCCCCACATCAGAAGCAGCGAAATTTCATTCATACCGCACCTATCTGCAGGTATGGTTTAGAAATGGACTGAACGCAAAGTTATGTGCTTGCAAGGATGATGCAGCACTGCAGGTTGCTCCTGCAAACAAATCAGGTTTGAAGTGGGAGGGAGGGAGTAGTGGTGAGAGGTGTGAAATTTGGAGGAGACAATTTGTTGAAAACGTTTCCGAGATATTCACGATTTCCGAAAAAACCACCTCTTTTTCAGGGGGGTTTCTTCGTACAGAGATGCGCGGAGTAGCAAAATTTTCGTAGACATATTTTAATAATCTAAAACAAAGAATATCATTACGATAGACAAATTTTTAAAAAATCGCCAAAAACTGAAAAAACAGTTTTATGTTTTACTAACCTGTCATAGCACATTTTATAACTGTGATACGCGGTCATAAAGTACCACTTTATGCCCTAGGGCATTAAGTATCACCATACTAACTCATTTATACTTAATGACAAAACAAACAAATATTTGCAGGTCATTGAAAATTAGAAACGTCAATTATAAATTGTCAATACCTACTAAATCACACGATTGACCTTATTTCGTATAGTTTCTGAAACTTCTTCCTCATTCACGATTAACAAATTCAAACCACGCATACTTGATCAAACATAATGAATTGTTTTGTAAACGAATATTTACTTTGACGAAGAAAACTATTTGTAAGACATAAAATTTTGTATGTACCACGGGCATAAACTGATGTTTATAGGTACTCTCGCGCCTATCGGCCCTCGAGCTTTTTAACTTGTCGCCCTCGAGAATATAAACATCACTATTATGGCCTTA